TAAGCAATGGTTTCAAAAAAATTAAGTTTGGTCTCAAAAACCACACCATTTTTTTTCTTTATTCTTTTTCATATATGTAATAAGGAACGGTAAAAAAATCCTAGTACCATTTTCGACTATCATACCGTTTTTTCGAAAATTCCAAAAAGTTAACATTTCAAACTACAAACTTGAAGATAGATATTTTTGTCCTAGGCAAGGTCTGTTATAAAAAATCATCTTTTTGGAAAAGGACATGTACAATTTTATTAACAAAACAAGTGGTTCTTGCATAATTTGGGTTTTTAATTTACGCAATTTCTAAAAAAATATTTTCTCAAAAACCGCTCCATATTTTTCCACGAAAGGAAGCTTAAAAGAATGACTCAAGTCTCGTTTTCGCTGAACTCTCCATATTTTCGAAAATTGCAAAAACATTTGGAAACTACAAAATGGAATATAGAGATATTTGTATTAAACAAAATATGTTTCAAAAATTAGCTCATTAATAAGGGCATGTTTATTTGTTTGAAAAACATCGTAGTTTTCGTGAAATTTCAGCTTGAAATTAATGAAATATATTTGGTGTCCCACTAATTACGGGCTTTAAGAAAAATCCTCGAAGAACAGGAATGGATCAAAAAGATAAGAAAAATAATGAATTTAATTTTACTCATTTTTACTATTAAAAATCCAAATATTAATTATATTTTTACTCAATTCTACAATTTGTATTTTCAATGTACTATTTTCTTTCAAGCAATTCGCAAATCTTAATTGAAAAGAGCTCAATTAGGTTTTCTCTCTTAAAATTACGATTTAAATCTAATATGAAATAAAAATTGAACGAAATTAGTACCATAATTTCTAGGAATTTTATTTAACTTTAATTTTATATTACCACCGTACGCTGCCTTGCACAACAATGAGATATTTGAGAATTTAATTGTTGATCTGCGACATGGAAAAGATAAGATAAAGCTGTTTTATCGAGCTTTAGTTACATATTTACAATTAGCCTTTTATAGATTATATGAAACCTATTTGATAATCCATATTTTTTGTCCGTGCTGCGAGGTATAGAATATTCATATTTTCACTGTAAGAAAGTTCACTTATCTGTGCATATTTCAACATTTCACTACTAATACCTTCTATATTATAATCTTACAAATTTTTAGCGACTGTAAAGCAATACACTAGAACGTCGATAATCCCGATTGTCTTCTTATAAAAATTAGGTTCATTTTTTTGGGTAAACCTTTCTTGAGTTAAAAATTAAAGAAGGGTTTCCAATGGGTTTTTTTTTCAAAACGTCCGTCCATCCGTCCGTCTGTGAGTGTTTACCGCCTAAACCATTTGTAGGATTTTTCCCAAAACGGATATTCCCCCTTCGATATGTCTCGACTCAAAGCTTTGCGATTTTTAAAATCAATCTTTAAAATTTGAGGGCACTTTACATGAAGCCCCTGGGACATTTTTTTTCTCAATAATGACTCAACAATTTTTTCTTTATAATTTGTTTAAGAATCGAGTAAAATACACTTATAAAGATGACATTCTTTCATTTTCACAGTTAACTCTGAATTTTCGAAAATTGCAGAATTTGACCTTCTTTCGGTGACTTCCTACAACTACAAAATTAAAGATAGAGATTTTTCCTTCAAGTAATTTTTTGCTCAATTTTTTAGTTCTTTCATCAAGGTCATGTATTCGCGAAATATTGTGTAAAATATGCCAAATATTAAAAATAACAAAAACAAGATTTTCTCGAAAACGGCTCCAAATTTATTCTTTAAAACTGTTCTATGGATAGTAATGAAGGTACTCCACAAGATGACATAAACACCAGATTTCTCTATTATTTTGTTTCCTCAAAATTACATAAATATATCTATTTGTTCACATTATTGCGTTTATGAGTGCATATGCTTTAGATAATGTCTTATAAAGTTACTCAAAAAATCAATATTTTCTGTAAAAACAATTTCAAAATTCCGCATTTTCAGAAACGCTCACACGTCATTTTCTCAAAACCGGCCCCATATTTTTTCTTCAATCGTTTCGTGCGGATATTGCTAATTGCACTGTTTAATATGGCATAAAATTAATTTTGTTATTTATTAAACAATTATTTTATTAATATACAATTTTTACAAATTGTAAATTTACAAATTTAACGTTAATAAATTAATAAATTTACAAAGCAAAATCACCACTATTTACACAACGTTTCGGCCATTGTAATTATGATATTTTTCAAGTCAATATCTAGTGTTGTTTGTTATCCATCCCTATTGAAACTATAAATGGAAGTATAATTTATATTTTATGGTTTAACTATGAAATGGCTACAAACACGTATTGACTTAAACTTGTTTGTTGAATGTGTCTTGAATCGCCGAAACATTGCATAGAATGTAAAGTGTTATTGCTTTTATTTCATAAAAATTGGTCGTTCAAATCAATTGTTTGCAATTTTTAATTAATTTTGTGTTTGAGAATGTTGGATAAACTTTTTTTAAAAATTCGTTTGCTGCCTGATCGGCTGTGCAAGTCTTTCAAGTGTTTTAAAAATGACAATTAATTGACTTGTTTGAGTGGGTCATTAATTTCCCTAATTGTTCGGACAAAACAAGTATTATAAGGTATGATAAAATTAGTTATTGACAGAACGTATTTATATTTAATAAAGTGAAAAAGTGATAATGAGAAAAAGTAGTGTTGTAGTGTGTAAGTGTAAGGGAAAGGAGTCTATGGAGGTGTATGGAGGTCTGAATCGGTCTTTGAGGAATCCGATAAATTCGATATAATATAGAGGCGGATCCAGGCAATCATTTGGGGGGGGGGAGGCATCATAGATTTTTGTCAAATAATAAAGATATTGCTATTGTATGTATAGGTGGAAACCAGAACGGTATAAGTGACATTTTACAAATTCTGAGAAATCTGTTTATGTAAGTCAGTATTACTGTAAAGTAGTGGTGCTGATTTCCATAATTAAAACCACGGCATTTCAATTCATTTAAACTAAAAAAATACGTCACTGAAATATAGCCAATAATAAACACGTTTTTTCTTAGAATACACAATTTACATAAAAAATTCAATTGTATTGTTCTGGTTTTCACCTATTCATACAGTATATTATTTTTGTAGTGTATATATGATATCATACAATATTATTTCTTAAATAATTACATAATTCTAACATTCCCATTACTAAATTCTCATTTTCCCATATTTAATTTTTCCCTATGCCGTTTGGGGCAGGGATGGCCCCCATGCCCCTCCCCTCTGGATCCACCACTGGCCCAGTAGACATACAGGTGTTCGGCAAGTCCATAACTGCGTCAGATCGTGACCCTCCGAATGTCTTTTCACTAGGAGTTGCCTAGAAATCAGAAGCAAATGTTACATCGTATCTCCAATACATGAAATTATCAACTACATGCCCATTGGCAAAAAGGGATATTTCCAACCCCTCTACATCCCCTAAAAACATAACTTTTTCTGAGACATTCTGTAAGTGAAACTGCTTTGTTAATAGACACTCACGTCGTTTGTTTTTCGATCAAGACAAATATTGGAGCTTTAATAAACTGAAATAAACTAAAATTTTAGTTAAAGTTCTTGGAGTGATATTTTTAGGTTAAAGTGCAATAGGGAGTTCTGCCGAATCTAGAGGTTTCCTCTCCTGTAGCTTCACGGCCATGCGCAGCCGACCGCAAGGACATCCCGTTTAGTTCACTACTGCACACATAGATGGCAGGGCAAGTGTATTTACAAACAGTTGATCGAAACGTCAAACGTTTCGCTCGCAGCTGGAAATGCTTTCGGTGTTTCAAATTTTAGAAATACAATATTCTGTATCTCTTTGTGGCACGTCTATCAGCAATAATTGACGTGAATGTGAAATGGAGTATCGCGTGACGTTGCTAGTGTGGTCCAGCGTGTCAACATTTCGACAGGTGATCGGCGTGGAGCAGAAAGTCTAATCCTGATGCAGTGAATCTGCAGATACCGTCTTCCATTCCGCAGCGTGTCTTTTAAGAGTATTTGTGTGTGTAGTACAGAATCGTAAAATATCGGTAGCGTGGCTTGCGATCGGGCTCGGGATCCGCTGATAAAACAGTCGGTGGTCACGAGTCCGCGAGAGATCGAGGCCGTCGTTTGGAGGAGGCGAGCCCTAGTAATGAGCGACCAGGACGTGGATGATGTCGCCTTCTTGACAGGTATCTTTTTCTGGTCGACCTCATATATTTACTTCCAAAATTCTCTTCGTTTGTCCTGGGCATGCAAGTAATTGCTTATAGCCTGCGATGTTTGTGACTGTTTGTTTGACTTTGCCTGTTCAAGGAGACATGGTAATGAATGGCATTAGGGTAGATTGAATTGTGAACCAAAATCAATATTTAGACACTACGGTAATGACACAATGCATGGCACACGCAATGCTGCGGTACGTAGTTTAGGTTATCGAGTTTGTCTACCTGTCTGTATTTGTGATGATTTGTGTATGTATTTTTAAATAAAATGTGTGTTTAGAAATATATCACGCTAAAGACGATAATTTTTGAATGAAAAATGTATGTTGTATTGAAGAAACCATTTTATTTTAAATTACAACAGCGCACTAGCTAACAATTTACCTTTGATGTGGAGTGAAATAATAATTAAATTGCACTTAATATTTTTAATGTTAACGTTTGTTTGACATTTGTGACACGTACTTCTTCGTTGTGACACCAGATGTCACTTTTATTATTAAAACCAGGGCAGCCAACAAAATCGAATGCGACAAACATTACGAAACCAATGACATACTAAAATATAATTGGACAAAGCCAACTCAGAGCTCGTGATTTGAAATGAAATGGTTGTTTTGCATAACTTGACATTTGTATGTCATAAGAATGTATTACCAAGCTCCTCATTTTTGTCACAAACTTGAAGAAATGTTCAATAATATTATTAATTTATTGTTATAATTTTGTTCATACATGTGTATGCCTTTGTAGGGGACAGCCAGACAAACATCAATAAAAGAAGCCTCTATGAACACAATGGAGTTGCAGTTTGCTCTCAAAAAAGAGCCCTTATTATTGCCACAGTTGTCTTCGCCACACTTTTCATCATTTCACTTATTATTGCTTATGCAGGCCCTGGAAATGGTAAGCTTCAAGCACAAATTATGACTTGCTACTTTTCTGCAAATTATTTTATCTTGGCATTGATTAAAGATTTTGCAGCTTGTTTCTGTATCCTTCATAGCTCTATACGTTTAAATATTGTAAGAAATTATAAGTTTAATTGTAATTCTGTAGTGTTCTTTGGATTTTTGAAGTTTGTGACTGAAATTATTTTGTATAAAATTTTATTCTTGTATTGTAATAGTTTAACGTCGAGTAGTAATTTGTTTTAAAAAAACATTCTGTTTACTTTTGGCAATTCAGAGTTCTTTGCATTCTATTATGTGCTCACACTTTATTGATGAGTGCATACCTGAAGCAAAAGATGAATGTCTTTGTCAAGGCGGGCACAATAATTTGTTTTAGGTATAGTTGAAACATTTATTTCCTTTCAATTGCTCAGGTCTGCTAACGTGTAATAGGAAGATTAGGACATTTCATTTTCAGAAAATGTGTGAGGAATAATGACATTGAATAATCTGATGACCCTGTTTTGTAGATTGCCCATGTGCTGGAGAGAAACCAGACCATCTTGAGAGTGAGACAGAACTTAATTCTTCTGCTCCATCTGTTCCCCTAGCAACAAATGGTGAAGTATTCCCTTGGAATAAGGTTCGATTACCAGGAGCTATAAGACCTTCTCGTTACAATATAACCATTCACCCCAACCTCACTACTCTTGGAGTCAAAGGTAAATGTTTTAGGTATATGCTTTACCATAATAAGTAGGGGTGGATTTTAATGAAAGCTCATTTTTTTCTTTTCACTTTAGAACAATGTCTTTTAGTGTAGACATTCATTTTATGTTATAACAAAAGGACATGACCCATTTTTATTCCTTTTTTTCCATTTTTCTGTGATTTCAATTGAAAAGTAATTTTTTACCTTTTCCTGTCATTTTTAATGCATTTCTTTGCTGATTTCATTGATTTTAATATAATTTTTATGCTACTTGCTTCAAATAATATTTACGAGATGCAACACATGTTCTCCACAGAATTCCAGTCTATTCAATTTCTTCACTCAGAAATTGTAATGTCAGTCATTGTATGCCTATTAGCACCATTGCCGGTTTGGCGGATTCTGTGATATCTAAAGACAGAGATATCCTGGCTCAGTTGAGTTCACTTAAACGAAAGGAAGAAACCTTGATAGCATCAGTAGCAAATCCATCAGCTTCAGTGTTCATCTGAACTGGATTTGATCAAATTTTTTAAATCATTTTTCTCCGCTTTTAGGGAATTTTAAAAACATTAGAATTCTGTACACGAAGTGTGTCAATATCTACAGGTTGCTAATACAGTTTGTCTTATTCAATAACTCTAGTCTAATAATTTGGCCAAATCTGTATATGCAACCAAAATTTTTAGAAACCTTGATATAAGTTTCTTTGATCATATTTGCTACAATTACTGCAGTTGCAGTGTAGAAATGTTTAAGAGTTCAGTGACTTTGTTCTTATGAACTTCCCAACATTTCTTCTCAATTTTATTATTACTAACATTACTTATTACTAATTATTATTACTAAATTTTATTATTAGAAAACTTGCTGTTATCTTGAAACTTGCTATATTTTACTTCATTGATTAAAAAAGTATCAGGAGTATTGACCATTTGACATTCTGAAAAGTTTTAGCAAAATAAATTTACGTTGATAAGTTAATATTTTTGTTTACATTTGTATATCCAAATGAATACTTCCTCTGCTTGCAGGAGAAGTGACTATTGAAGTTCGTGTGCTAAAAGACACCAACTTCGTCGTCTTCCACAGTAAAAATTTGACAATAATAGATAAAGTAAGTTCTTCAGATATTTATATTTTTGAAAGAGTTGAAACTTTTTATTGCAAATTTCGTTCCTTTTACAGTTAGTATATGCAGCAGGAGGTCGTAATCTGACAGTTGTCAAAATGTTGGAATACCCCCCCACCCAACAAATTTATATGGAAATGAAGGAAAAATTTCGTAGGGGTGGAAATTATGTCCTTAAATTACTTTTCACATCTCGGTTATCTCAGGAATTGGAAGGATTCTATTTAAGCAGCTACATCAACAAGAACGGAGAAAAGAAGTAAGAAAGCATATTTCATTGCTTCCCGTCTTGTTAAAAATATTGCAGAGTTGTTTTAAATATTGTAACATTTTTCCCCCTAGATACCTTGCTACTACCCATTTTGAGCCAACATATGCCCGACAAGCTTTCCCTTGCTTTGATGAGCCACAGTTCAAGGCAAAGTTTAGAATGTCTTTGTACAGAGATAAGTTTCAAATAGCATTGTTCAATATGCCACTAACTTCAACTGAGCACAAAGGGTACTTCTCTGGTGGAGAGTTGGTAAGTTGACTTCTTGGATTGATTTGCGTTATTGTATTAATCCAAACTTAAATGATCATTTTTAGAGCGTAAGTAATTGTCTTTGGGAACAAAATTATTGCAATTTTAATTTTATACCAACTCAAAATAAAAGAACTTTAAAAAATCCTAAAATAATTTTTAACCAATATTCAAAAGCTTTTAAGTAGACATTGTTCTAGAATTGCTTTTTAAACATTTCAAGGAAATCTAGTGCAGTTCAGCATATGTTCCTTATGCAGAATTTATAATATTAATAAGTTTTTGGAAGAAATGCATTGAATAATCTGTGAATCAAAAGAAAGTAATTTTGTGTATTATTTTTTGATTCCAGCCTTTTCATTTTAATACTAATCTCTTGATTTACCTATAATTTGTAAAAGTATTAGTTTCTAATGTTGTTTAATGAATGCTTTTTTCTAGTAGAATAATATTTAAATTGGGAAAAAGATATATTTTTTCCATTAATTTCTGAGAAGAAGCCTTATATTTACTAACTTAAAATGGCGTACATTAATTTGACATCAATTTATTTTAAAGTCCTGTATTTAAGTTTGGATTTCTGCAAATACATATATATTCAAAATTTATTCAATAAACATTTCGATGACTTAAATACATTTTATTCTTTGTTTTTAAGATTTGTGATCATTTTCAAGAATCTGTTGAAATGAGTACATACCTTGTAGCATTTGTTATATGTGATTATGATCATATAACCAATATGACTCGTCATAACAAATCTGTCTCAGTCTATGCTCCTCGTGAAATGATTTCGCAAGCTGATTTTGCCCTTCACACTGCTGTTGATATTATGGATTATTACGAAGAATTTTTCATGGTTCCTTATCCATTACCTAAACAAGGTAAGGTGGCCATTTAGATTTCTTATGAGATTTTGTTTTTGTAATGCTAAATATACTTTAACCTACCTGGTAAGAGACTGCATAAAATAGTTTTATCTTGATAATATAAAGTTTCTCACATACTGTATAATATAGAAAAATATGTGATCCCTGATACCGAAAAAGTGGATAATTGTATGCAGTATACAGGATAATTGTATCCGGTATGTAGTAAAGTAAAGTACTTCCACTAACATGTACAGACAGAATCCACAATTTGTAAATCCTTCATACTGAAAAAAAGACTAAACTTCTGTTCATCCAAAGATCCTCAGTCAAACTGCTATTTTAATTTTTTGGGAGTATTTTACATGAAGCGTCAAGGATATTTCCAAATTTCACTAAAAAATAACTCCAAATATTGTAGTGAACTCTGTCCTTGGTTAGTTTTAAGGTCAAATAAAAAAGGAAAATGTTTCAGTTTCATTGCAATATCTGAATTTTTGAAAACTGCAAACGTTAAAAATGTTTTTTGACATTAGCTACAACTACAGTATTGAAATTAGCGATTTTTCCTCTGAATACAATCTGTTCATGTAAATTACATCTTTAAATGAGGAGATATACTTTGTTTTCAAAATAGTTTAGTTTAAATAGTTTCCATGTAATTTTGAATAAGATATGAGAAAAATTAAAAAAGTTGAAAACAAGATATTTTCAAAAATGGCTCCAAATTTTTACTTTGGTTTAATTTAACTTGTTTGTGGGTAGTGCTACTTACATTGCTTATCATGACATAAACAACATTTTGATACATAATTTAGATTTTTCAAAAAATACACAAATATAATTTTCTTTATATCTGTATATCGCTGATATCATTAATGTTTACATTATTAGCATTTTTATACACTTTGCATTTGTGAGTACAAGTGCTTCACATGATTTCTTAGGATCTTTCTTGAAAACTCAATACTTTTCTATGAAAATGAGCTCAAAATTGTGCATTTTCGGAAATGAACAAATGACATTTTCTCAAAAATACTGAACTTTTTTTTTTAACTTTTGGTGGTGGTATTGCCGGACACATTGAATTACTAATACATAATACCATTTTGATAAATTATTTTGATTTTCCAAAAACTATACAAAAAAAGGTTTTTGAAATATCACTAATGTTGTTAATGTTTTCATTGTGAGTCTTTGCTGTACATTATTGCATTTGTAAACACAAGTTCTTGAAGTGTTTTTCGAAAACTCAAAACTTTTCTTTCAAAAGAAGTTCAAAATTGTATTTATGGTAATTTTCTTTGTGATATTTTGTATGATGCTCTTATTTTATTTGCTTTATTCTCACTCAAAAGTTCTTTCTTATTCAAATTCTATCCTTTAACTCAGCTCTCCGATTCTTTTGATGTACAAATTTTCAATACAGTAGTATTAACAAATCACATAAAAGTTAAAAATTTTAATTATTATGTGCAATCATTGACAATTTCTTAATGAACTACAGTACAGAGAGCTATTATTTCTGTCTAGGGTTATAATGACAGTGGCCAATATTTTGTTCTAATGAATTTAAACTTAAATTAAAAAGTAATTTAATTTTGTAACAGATTTTTGTAAAATATTTTTATTTTCACAGACTTTGTTAGACCAGCATTGCGTTTTTGGAAAATTATGAATGTAAAATGTGTTTTTGCTTGCATATTTTGGAGTTTTCTATCTCTAGTCAGAACTACAGAAAATGGAAATTATTGTGTTTGTATGTCACATTACACACTTTATGTGTAAATGCTTGTTTCATTTTCTGTTTCTTTAAAGTAACTGATGTGTTACTGCTTGAAAAGTGAGATTAAATTAGTGGGATGTTTCCGTGAATTTTAAGATTATGTAAAAACTAATGATACTTGCTTTTCTTGGAAAGGTTGAAAAACAGTGGGGCAAATTTTAAGAGAAGTACAACAATGCTTCTTATTATTAACTTCAAATGTTCAGTACAATTGAAGTCAGTTACAATCCTAATAATTCATAACTCTCAAAATTTTGCACTTGAATGTAAGAGAATAGCAATATCTCCTCCATTAAACAAATCTTTCAATTGTAATAAGTAGAATCAGAACTGCCTTGAAAATAAGTTGCTTAATTCACCTCTTTCTTTAAAAAACAACATAGGTTTTTAAATTAATCCTTCTTAAAGCCAAAAATACATTGTGTTTTACTTCTCATGATATAATATCTTAATACATTCCGTTCAGTGAATTGAATGATATTTTAACCCAGAAACATTAATTTCACCAACAAATCTTATTTATTTCATCATTTTTTTATTATTCTAGCAATTTTATATACTCTTGTTCATAGATGATTAGTGTTATGTTATATTTAAAATCCTATCTCTACTGTCTTTTGCTACCAATCAGTGGAAATTTATGGTGATTCACAATATGTTTTCAGTGTTGTACACATCCAGTTACAGTAAATTCAGTTCTGAGAATTCTTTTAATAAATGCATAAGCCAATGTTATGGTTGGTAGAAGGTTATTAAAATAATCTTTTAAAAAAATGTTTAAATCCAATTTTAAACAAAACATCTTATTT